CTCCCATTTCAGACAAAACCTACCACATTTTACTCAGTTGACCAAATCGAAAGCTTTACTATAATCTATGAAGCACAAATATGTTCTGATGTTTCTCTGGATTTTTCTACAATCTGCCGTACGTTTAAAATTTGTTCTTTAGTACCACGTCCTGGGACGAAACCTGCTTGTTCCTCCGCAATGTTAGGTAGTAAAAAGGGCTTTATCCTCTCGAGAATTATGTGTAAGAGTATCTTACTGCAATGCGCAATTAGATCAATTGTGCGATAGTTGCTACATAAATCTTTCGCTTCCTTTTTATGTATGGGAAATATATAGTGATTGTGTCCAGTCCTCAGGCCATTTACCTGTCTCCCACACTCTTTGACAAATTTGATGTATTATATCCACTCCAACGTCATCTAGGGCCCAAATCATTTCAATAGGTATGTTATCTGGACCGGCAGCTTTTTGACTTTTTTGCTCATAATTGCTGCTTCAACTTCACTTTTGAGTACGTCAGGTTCCGTCGCAAAACTGGCATCTTCTTGTTGTGATGGGGCGTATGTGCTTTCCTCCATCATCAGTCGTCCACAGTATTCTTTCCATCTGTGTAAAATATCTTTTTTAGAAGTGAGTAGAGTTCCGTTATCATCTTTGATAGCAGGGTAGTTTGCTGTAAAGGAACGTGTTATCTGCTTTATTTTTTTAAAACATGTCTCTGGTCTCAGTTTTGGTTTTATGCCCTTCTATTTCCATGCAGATTTTGTTTTAAGTGTGTGTTCATGTCCTTTTTGCAGAGTCGTTTTATTTGACCGTTCAGCGCTTTATAGGCCTCTTTATCACTTTCACTGTTCAGTCCTGTGGCTTTTAAGCACTTCCTTCCTGTATTTTAGTCCACGTGGAGTCCGTTATCCATTGTTTCTTCTTTCTTCTTTATCACTCTTAATATTTTTCGCAACATTATGCAATATGGATTTTGTTTTTGTCCATATGCTGTTTGACCTCACATAGTGGCTATTTCCAGTTAAATAGTAATTAAAATATTGCAAGATAAAAAATAAATGTACTTATTCTAGATTGATGTCCATTCTTTCTAACTATTTATCGACAGCTTATTTTAAACGTTTACAGGCACATAATTTTCGCACACTATATCTGCAAACTAGTAAACATGCATTAGAGAAAGTGTCAAATTACACAATACTTACAGTACAGTTACGCAGTTACTCGCCGGTTGCCGAAATCCTAGAACCGTATAACTATGAGAGTTATGCGCGAAGCTTAGTAAAATAATTATATGTAGGAAGCTGATGGGCATACAGTCCATGTATGTCGTGGTGGTCAAAGGTCAAAAAGTGTATAAGTGGCTACCTTTCTACTTATTATATAGCAAAAAACATAAATTTAGAGAATAGTTTTTCTGTGTTTAACTTGCACTTAAAAGCTCAAGTATACGTTTAATTTTAAATTATACTTTACAAGAAAGTTTTACTTGAAAGTGACTTCCTTTATTACCTGTATTAAAAGTCGTTTTGTTTTTATACCGAAAATAGACAGAAGCAAAACGAATACCAACATATTTATTCTAAATCATTAACATTGTCATAGTGACTGGACTAATAATTTCTCTCCTAATGTTCTCATTTTCCGGTCATTATAATATGTGACGATGTATTTTTTTACGTACTGATTAACATGGGGACTATTGTTCGGAGAGTTATTAATTTTTTTATTGCTTTTCTGTCTTTTTGGAATGCTGTAGTGTTCGTATAAAATATCGAGTGTGTTGTTCTATTATTGGTGGACTAATTACTACGTTTTTATCTCTATTTTATAACGAGCAGCGATAGAGTATGAAATAATTGATTACCATAAAAATTCACTGACCGTGTGCCAACATCATGGTTAAAAAGTTTCGTGTTACACCTATTGACTTTTGGTTTGATTGACGCTATATGAAAATGAAAATAGTTATATAAATATTCTGCTTGTTCTGTGGAAAATAGTATGTACGTACAAAAAATAAACATAAATAATTATGAAAATGTTTTATCAGACATAATTGCTTAAAATTAGTCCCCTTGAATACCATTACAAGATAAGGTCTCTGTGAACAATCTGGATCTTTTTACATTATCTTTTAGTACCATTATCTTGATGAAAAAAGATGGTATAAATTTAAAGCATCCCTATGAATCGCACTTCCACATTTTCACTTTCTCTTCATGATTTTCTTCAGATCACCTAGTTTATTCTAGATTCTAAGGCAATTTTTTGTTAATGCCATTTAGCAAACTTATTAAATGCCATTTAGCAACCTTATTTTTCTTCTTTTCATACTGTCTTGTAGTACTTTTTTAACTATCGAACGTATACAATCATATCTGGTTTTCTTAAGTATTAAAATTGGATTCACATATGGGCAATCACATCTCTAGATAATTTGTTTTCTTAACATCATCTCTATTTCTTGATTTACCTCTTATCGATATTTATCCTCGTCCTCCTAAGTGCCTTCTCCGTTGAGGTTGGCGATCAATAGGGCAAATTTCTCTCTGTTCTTGGCTTGATCATCATCATCATCACGTAGCGCTACAACCCTGGGTGGGTCTTGGCTGACTGTACAACTTTTTTCCAATTTGTTCGGTCTTTCATCAACCTAGGGTCAAATGGAATGTTCATTTTCCGGAGATCTGCTTGGATGTTATCTCCCCATCGCATTCTGGGAGGTCTGAGTGGTATTTTGCCTGTGGGAATTTCCTCCCATGCCAGTTTTTCTGGGCTTGATGAATTAATTTCTATTATGTGGGATTCTTCTTATGTGGGTCCAATCTCTGATGTTACGTAGCCAAGATTTTTTCTTTCGTCCTATGCCACTTTTACCTTCAATCTTGCCTTCTAGTATTACCTGGAGTTGCTCAAATTCCCTATGGCGCATTATGTGTCCTAGATATGACGTCTTTCTAATTTTGATAGTATTGAGCAGATAAGTGCGTGTGTTCATTACTCTCAGTACTTCTTCATTCGTAGTTCTGCTGGTTCAGCTTATTCTTAAGATTCGGCGATACATCCATATTTCAAATGAATTTAATTTGTTGACGTTTAATGTCCAGGTCTCACAGCGATATAATAATTTCAATGCGTCTTAAACAAATTTTTAAGATATTACTCCCATATTTCTTTGTGTTTTAGGGTCTGATTCCGTTTGGTTTTTCTTGTTTGTATTTGTATTTCGTCGATTATTTATAAGGGGTTAAAAAAATTTCTAAGTTCTTGAAAATTGGTTCATAATTTTTCGCAATTTATTTTTTCTCATTTGTTAGTCTTCATTATTTTCCAATATAAGTCTCATTTCTTTTTCCATTCCTTCTCCGACATTATTTTTCTTTTGTCTTGTTCCGATAGCTTACACATATTAATTTTACAATATAAGTCTTTATGAAAATCTAAATTTCCTTAAATTACTAGTATTTTGGTTTCTACCCCTCTTTTATATGCATTTTCTTTTCTTTGATTCTTTTTCAATATTTCTATTTCATTATCATCCAGCTTACCATTTTCTAATGAATTTTAAGTATCCGATTTCATTTCTCCTATTTTTTGCGTTTTTCTTTTTCCCTTTCTTTTGTTTTTTTGTACTATTCATTTTGCTTATTTTCTGTTGGTCTGCATTGTTTTCTATATTAGTTATTTTTTTATCTTACATTTTTTTCTTTAAAGTCTATAGATACTTGGTTTTCTGTTAGTTTATCTACTCCGATCACCATATCGTGACTTATTCTTTCCATCATTACGAATTGATAGGAATAAATTGATTTCTCACCCTTAATTTTGCCAACAGATTATGCCGGCGCCATCCCTCTTCTTTGGTGAAAGTCGGCTCCAATAAACCCTGCTGAACTGCTGCCTTTTAACTAAAACCACCCCTTTTTCTTGACATATGAACTGGAAATTAACTTGTTGATCTTCTTTTGCTGTAAAATATGCTTTTTGTTATTCTAATCAAAATTTTTGTTGTTTTGTATGTTTGCATTGTCAGTTATGTACGTCTATAATTTTATTTTATATTGTAGCAGAAGTGTGTAGAAGAAAATTTTTTTTTATTATTATTTTTCTAGTTTAAACACAAAAAGTTTTACTTGATTTTTAGTTTTAATCACTTTATTGACATTATTGACGACTTAGGTAGTGTTTCTATTACTTTTTGAAAGTTTTAAAATGTTTATTCTTGTCCCAGTTCCAATTTCAATGCTTATCGTGTTCTTTCGAATTTGTGCCATTATAGTACTCTATATTTAACATCTAACTGTTTAGTGCAGTATATCTGTGTTCTATCTGTAGTTTTCTTGATTTAATGTGTATCTTTTGGAAACTTTCATAGCCAGTCATAAAATTGTAATAAGTAATAACTGTTGTTTTTGTGAAGAAACCAAATTAAATTGATGATTTTGGTATAAGCACTTTCGTCATTATAATTTGATTGTTTTCTCATTTGTTTATTCGTTCTAACGTAGATTAATTTTGCTCTTTAAACAGATGGAGCAAAGCTTGACGTTAAAACCTACGACAAGTGTCTAATCTCTGGAATGAAGACAAACAAGCCTTTTGGCCGGCTTTATCAGTAAATCAAAAATACTCTAATAACAGGAGCAAATGATTTAAAATGATAAAATTACCATTATTTTTACTGAGAAAGGTTAAAAGCTAAAACTAAATCTAAACCCTAAAATTTTTTTAGTTGCCAGACTGCACTGCAAAACCGTATAAATCATTGGTGAATTCTCTAGACTTATCAAAGTTGTCTAGACTGTTTAACGACTGATTATTGAACCCCCAGTTGTAAAGACTTGAATATTTACTAAAAAAATAAATTAATTTCATTACCACGGCGACTACAACTTATCGATGCCATGATCAATATATTGAAAAATCTAACTGTCCTACAGTTTTTATATGTATAATCTTTATTATAAAGGTTATATTACACAAAAATATTAACAATGTTTATTTATTTACAGATATCCAAGTTATAGACCTGTGAGCAAAGACACCTACAACAGAGATCCCTATAATGATACCTACAGACCGACCAGCTACCTCTACGGCAGACCATCTTCAACAACCCCGAAGCCATCCTCAGGTGACTCAAATACGCAGTCGCCCCAAGGCAGCTCCGGGTAGCTCAGTCGTAGTCAATACGTAGTTAGAACGATATTATTAAGTAAATAAAATGCCTCCTACACTAAGTTCTTTTTTAATTTTTATTTTTTATTACATACTTTTACATTTTAGATAGGATATTAAATTATTTTGAAAGTATTTCGTCAATACCGCCGGGTTTATTCAAAATATACGTTTAAAATAAACGGTATTATAAATTATTGATTAAATCAAGAATTAAATAAAGTATAAATTACTCTGTGTTCTTTATTTTGTAACAAGTTATCGGTGTGCTCACTTTTTTAGTGATGAAATGAAGAAATTAGATGAGAAAAATATAAATGTGAATTTACCATATTCATTGAAATACAGAAAGCATGTAGATCATTTTCTTAAATTATGGATTATGTCGATTTTTGTTAAGAAATAACATAACCTATCTACAGAATAAATCCCATTAATAAGTTAGTAACGGTTAAATTATATATATTTAAAAAGACCAAGTGCATTTCTTCTTATTCTGGATTTTGAATTTTACATCACTAGACCAAGCGAGTAATTTTGTGTAATAGTTTTGCATCAGTAGACCAATACCTCGTTGAGGCGTTTAGGTTAAGAAGTAATGGCAGTTATTGCCTAAATCTTTCTACCTTTCTACAGAAGATGCACAATAAGAATCACTGCTGATGCCTTCAACTTTTAAAGGAGAAACGAAAAGAAACATTATTTCTCAGCAAAAATAAAAAGAAGGGAAAAGAGTATTAAACATTTAAGTGATCAAAAACTCTTCGCCCATGGGAACACCAAAAAAAGGAAGAATACGAAGTACTTAAATCAAAGTTACAAATTAAGAAAAAGAAAGTTGTATTCAAAACCAAAGTTCCTTTACACAGGGAAATGAGAAAAGATTCAAAACAGTTCGGTATGTATCTTTATAAGTGTAAGTGTTTAGATAAGGTTAGTGTGGATAATTCTAAAAAAGAATTTGATAAATTTTACAATGATGAATCTTATGATGCTCAGAGAGCTGTAATTTGTTCAAATATTTCGGAAGTCCCAATAAAGTATAAAAGAACAAAAACCAGTAACACAAGAAATACTACAAGTTAATATTTTGGTGCTGGTTGATGATGCTAATGTAACTGTGTCCAGGCCAGACAAAGCAAGTAAATGCAGCATTAAAAGCTATGAAACGTCCAATAGGTGTTCGAGATTGTCGTAGTCATAGTGGAGGTCATAATAAAATTAACGATATTCGTGTACAAAAAGTAATTGAGAACATAACAAAATTCCCTTAGTAAAAGTCATATTAAAGAAGAGCTAACACAGAAAGAGAATACCTAACAAAAGACACAATAATAAGTAAAATGTATGAATTGTATACTGCAGACGCAGACAATGATCCTGTTTTTGTTTTACAAAAAAGTATTTTTAATATGATTTAATCTTCAAAGAAAAAGGTTTAAAAAAGATACTTGTGGTAGTAATTGTTATGAATTAGAAATTAAAAATTGCGCAGATAACAAAAAATTAAGCAAGTTAAAGGAAGAAAAAATGTACACTTAGAAGATGCTGAAAATGCACAATCTAGAAGAAAGCTAAATATAAAGATGAGCAACGATCAACCAGAAATGGCAACCTTTTGTTTTGATTTAAAAAAGCTCTTTCCCTTCTGAGAATTTCAACAAATATCGTATATTATAAGCGTCAATTATGTATTTAAAACCTTGGTATCTATAGCAACAAGGATAACAAAGGTCATTGTTATGTTTGGATAGAAGGTGAGGCTGGTCGGACAGCCCAGGAAGTAGGCAGTTATCTTAAGAAATACATTGAAGAAAATCTTACTTCTGCAAAACATGTAATTTTGTGGTCACTCTTGTGGCAGCCAAAACTGCAACATCTAAATAGATTTCATTCTGAAAACGATTTTGGAAACTCATTCTACCATTGAAAAAATTACATTACACTATCTCTTTCCAGTTCATAGTTTTTTACCCAATGATAGTGATTTTGGAGATATTGAACTTTTATATACCGTTGATGATTACCTAAACGTGATGAAAAAATCCCCTAAAAAGAACCCACTAGTAGTTCACAGAATGAAAAAAAGAAGAATTTTTCGGAACAAAGAAGTTGGAAACTATAAATTGCAAACCGTAAATCAGATACAGAAAACAGTAAGGTAAGCTGGCTTCAAATAAGAGAAATTGAAATAGAAAAAAATAAACCACTGAGTATTTTTGTGAAAACTGACACAAGTGAAGTTAAAGTAGATTTTCACAAGAAACTTTAAAAAGGACGGCGCGTTTCAATGCAATTCGTAAGTAACCACCTGATTCCTCTTTGGCCCACAGGCAAGTCACTTTCTGTGTCTAAGCTTAACGACTTAAGATCTATTTTTTTTTGTTTTTCTTGAACATTAGCAAGTTACTATTTGGCACTTAGAGAAAATATAAAAAAAACTGTCTTCGAAAACAACAAATTACAACTATTATAACATATACTAAAATTTAATAGAGTGAAAATTTTGAAGTCAAATATTTTAAAATCAATTTTTGGCGTTTGGTCTATTGATGCATAACGCCGTCCATATAGTTTTTATTCCCTCTACACGCTTGCGTATATTATTTTTGTTTTAAATATTTGAAAGCAGAGATGACAATTTTCACTCCACCTAGATTTGGCAACCGTCGGACACGTTCCCCGGCTAAAAAACGTCTCCAAAATTACATCCATTATTCATGCAAAGTAAAGAAGTCTCCCCGACTATCTGCGATACCGGCCACATTTCTCGATGAAACTCAGACATCACTTATTTAAACTAATCCTTTTTACCCTCCTGAAATTTTAATTCCTGATGAAAATTGCAACGAAGACAAAAGGTAGCTTCTAGATTTGTTCTTGTGATACATTGCCAATGTATGATTTAGATACGGGTCGCTACATTTCCTCTTGTTATGGTTTTTCAAGTTAAAATTTTATAAGTATTGGCGATCTTACAGTAAAAGCTTATACTATGTTGAAAGTAAACCAATGAAAACCTTGGTTCTACCCAATTATTTCCAATTTCATAACCGCTTAACTTAAATAGGAAATATACACTGTGGGACAGTTCATTTGACAATAACTTTTATGAAGTAATTAGACATTTAATTACCTTTCTCATTTGGTCTTGAGACGTAAGACTAAAGAAGTAAGATGTAAGATGTAAGCGGTAAACTGTAAGACATCCGTAAGACGTAATACACTCTTTTATTACAAATTCTATTATTACGATTCATATAATTTTTTAAATTCATATAAACTTTACCGGATTCTATATTAGTTATTATTATTCTGTTTTCTTCTATCAACATTCTTTAACTATTAATAATTCCTAACTCGTTCGCGGACACTATGGCATAACAAAGGGTTCGTAGAAACGCACCTCTGTTAAGAACGTCATTTTATCGAAAATAAAATTAAAAATAGGTAGCATGATTTATTATGAAAAAAACATATGTTTTTGACAAAAAATGGGAAGCGGCAAATACCGTCTTGTCCCTAGCAAAGTCTATTTTCGTGAGCTGGATACAAGACGGCGTTTCCCGTCACACGAAAAATGGGAGGGGAGGGGACGAATTGATTAAAAACAACAATTTTATTGTCTATGGTAATCTTCGAAGCAAGGTTCGACACAAAGAGCTGGTTTGCTGGGGCACGTCTTACAAAGGTACTTGGTTCATCATCATCATCATCCAGCCAAATTTTCACATCCATTGTTGGATATAGGCCTCTCCAAGCGTCTCCAGTTCTCTCTATCTCTAGCTGCTGCAATCCAGTTTGTTTCTATTCTCTTTAGGTCGTCGGTCCATCGGGTGGGTGGTCTGCCTCGACTTCGCTTATCGGCTCTTGGTCTCCACTCCAATAATCTCTTCGTCCATCTTCCGTCTTCCATTCTAGCAACATGTCCAGCCCACCTGCACTTTTGTTTATTGATTCGCAGTATAATATCGTCTACGCCAGTTCGTCGGCGTATCTCCTCATTTCTTACGCGATCTTTCAAGGTCAGGCCCAGCATTGATCTCTCCATTCGCCTTTGTGTTACCCTCAGTTTTTCGGCAGTAGCTTTCGTTAAAGTTAAGGTCTCTGCTCCGTAGGTCAAGACTGGTAAGATGCATTGGTTAAATGCATTCCTTTTTAGGTGAATTGGGATATTTGTTTTAAAAATGTCTCTCATCCGTCCATATGCCGCCCATCCCAACGTGATTCGTCTATTTAGCTCGCAGGTTTGGTTGTCTCTGGTTATTCTAATTTCATGACCCAAGTATGTGTATTTATCGATTAATTCTACCTTGTTGTTATTGATCTGTATCTCTTCGCTGGGAAACCATATTGGTCATCATTTTGGTTTTCTCGAAATTTATCTCCAGCCCAGTTTCTTGTAGTATGTCATTTAGTTCTTGGAGCATGTCTTTGATCTCTCCCAGATTATCTGACAGAAGCACGATATCATCCGCAAAACGTAGATGGTTTAATCTTTCTCCATCGATGGATATTCCTTTCTGTTGCCATGTTAGTCTTTTAAATGCATACTCAAGAACGGTAATGAACAGCTTTGGTGACATGGTATCACCTTGCCTGACTCCCCTTTTTTATCTTTATTTTATTAGTTGCAGAATATATACTTATGGTTGTTGTGGCATTTTCATATATATTTTTAATTGTATTACAATATCTGTGGTCGATCCTACAATCTTGTAGTGCTCTTAAGATGGACGGTAGTTCCACTCTATCAAACGCCTTGGTCTCCTTTCGTATAATTCTTAATGTACAATGTTTACATCTCAAATGGTAGGATTTATTTGGATCTTTTGGGTTTGGTATTTCATCGAGAAACTGCATGCGAGAATCAGTGTTCCTGTTTGCTATTTGTTGATCCAGTCGTGGCCTTTTACCACCATGTAATGGTCCCGTCTTCACCAAGTTTCT